ATGGTGTGGCCCAACCAGGAGCAGGGGAAGGGTAAAAGGGGCCCCAGCTCAGCTGGGTGGTGGCAGGATTGGAGCCTGGGGGAGGGGGGTGCTCCTGCTGCTGGTTGCACCCTGGCGGAGGTCATGGGGGCACGTGCCCCCTTCCCCCCCCACCCCATCTCTATGTGTGGTGGAGGCAGCTGCTGCTGCGCCTCAAGTCTCACTGCAGCTGGCCATGTGCAGGCGCAGCTCAGAACAGCAGCAGGAGGCACGTGGCGTCCACCTGCTCCAAAGCCAGTTGCAGCGGGGCTCGGGGTGTGAAGCCCAGCCTGCAACGGCAGCTGCCTCTGCCATGCACAGATCAGGCGGGTACGTACCCCCTCCCAAACGCAGGGCAGCATGGACGGCTGCAGCAGCAGTGAGCAAGGGAGTGGGGCTGGAGCAGGGGCAAGCCCTGCAGACAGAACAGGGCGGGACAGAGTCGTGAGCGGCATATCTGTGGGGCATGGGGAGGGGGAGGCATTCACCCTGGGCAGACACAGGGGACATGTGCCCCCAGATCTGCATGCAGGGCAGGGCAGGATGGGCTGCAGCTGCGGCCATGCTGAGTTCAGGGCAGACAGTGGTGGCGCTGGGAATGGGGGTTGGGGGACTACAGCAAATTTTCCACTGGCTGCAGCCCCGCTCCCAGCACTGCTGTCGCCCGGCCCAAGCTCAATGCAGGCCAGGACCCCGGCTGGGAAGAGCCCGGCCTCAGCCCGCAGTTGCAGACCACCCCGCCCCACGTGCAGATCTGGGGGCACATGCACCCCGTACCTTCCCAGGGTGCGTGCCACCCCTTCCCCAGACAAGCCACTCGTGGCTCTATCCCGCCCCACCCTGGGTCCACGTCAGAATGGCAGGCAGCTTCAAGTGGAGTCCCACAGGGGTCTGTCCTGCACTGGACGGTGCTGTTCAGTATGTTTATTAATTATTTGGATGCTGGCATAGGAAGTTTCTTGAGCAAGTTTGCAGACGACATGAAACTGGGAATGATCGCAAACACACTGGAGGATGTGAGAGCAATTCAGAAAGATCTTGACAGACAGGAAAGCTGGGCTACAGCTAACAGACTGAAGTTCAATGAGGATAAATGCAAAGTGTTACACCTCGGGAGGAATAATCAAAAATAAAAATTTAAAATGGTTGACAACTGACTGGATGGCAGTACTATGGAAAAGACCTTGGGAGTCCTGAAAGGTCACAGACTCAATGCAGCATGATGCAGGTGCTCAAAAGGTGAATGGGGTTTTGGGATGCATCAACAGAACCATTAGGTGCAAGACATGGGAGGTGATAATTCATCTCTATTAAGCACTGGCTAAGCGTCATCTGGAATACTATGTGCAGCTCTGGGCTCCATATTTTAAAAAGGAAATGGAGCAGTTAGAGAGGGTCCAGAGGTGGGACGATGATCAAGGGCTTGGAAAGCAAGTCTTAAAAGAAGAGGTTGAAGGAGCTAGGCATATTCAGCTTGTGGAAAAAGGTACTTAAGAGGGGACATAATAGTAGCTAGTAGTCTTTAAATATCTGAAGGACTGCCATAAAGAATAGGAAAAGAACCTTTTCTCTCTTGCTACAGAGAGGAGGACGCAGACGAATGGCTGGAAGTTGCAGAAAAGTAAGTTTAGATCGGATATCCAGAAAGAAACTTCTTCACTGTTAGAATGGTGAGGCAGTAGAATAGACTGCCTAGGGAAGCTGTGGACACTCCATCACTGGATGTGTTCAAGAAGAGGTTGGACAGCCACTGGTCAGGAATGATCTGGGGTGTAGCTATGCTGATATTCTACTGCTTTGGGGCTTTATGGATTGGTCCCACCCCCTCTTTTCTGCTACATGTGTCAGGGTGTTTTTAAGCTTTCCCAGAGGCATTGGATATTGGCTACAGCCAAGGTTGGGAACTCTGACTATGGTGTGCCAATGTTCCTTCTGGGAGCAAAGTCAGAGGTTCCTGGCTAGAGGGTCTTTCCCCTCCCCTCAGTGTCAGATTGATCACCATATTTGGGATTGGGAAGGCATTTTATCCCATGGTCAGATTGGTAAGGACTGTACGGGGTTTTGCTTTCCTCTGTAGCAGGGGCCATGATCCTCTACCCAGGACCTCTTGAGCATATATTGTCAACATTTTACAGATGCAGGACACTGACTGCTGTGGTTCTCCTGCTTAATGTTGTGGGTTAGGGTGTTAGGTTTGTGTTGTGTCAGGGTTGATGACAGTCTTATGTATTATTTAGATTATGTTTTGTATAGGATGGTTTGGATTGGGGTGATTCTGCCTCAGGCAGCAGTTGGACTAAATGACCTCTGGAGATCCCCTCCAGCCGTACTTTTCTATGACTTTAAGGAGCGCTTCACTCCACAGTCCTGATGACTTTCAATAGGGCCACTTGTGAAGTAACAATAGTTTGTTTTACATTAGGATTAGAGGCCTCAACTGAGATCCGAGATCAAGACTTCTCTCAGTGCATTAGGCTCTGTATAGTTAAACAGTGAGAAACAGGCACTTCCCGACTGTGTAAGATCTCAACAAACAAGCTCAGAAGGCAAAGATGTATAGTGACTTGCCTATGATCAAACAGGCCAGCAACAAAGATGGAAAGAGATTCCACGTCCCCCAATTCCCACAGAAATGTTCAAGCCATGAAATTATTCCACCAATAAGAGCGAAGTAATCAATGTGACAAAATCTGGACCTGACTGGCTCCAATCATTGTCCTTTTAACAGAGCCATATTTTTGTCTCCCCTTAAAAACCTGTCATAGTAAAAAGGCTGTATTTCAATAAGGTTTGCAGAAAGTTCGAATGACTTGAATTACACATCATTTAAGTGTTACCTTGATCTGGAATTATGACTCATGTACCATTACTTTATGTTCCTCTACTTCAAAAACAGTTTATTAATAACTCTCTACATTGTTAAGTCTCAGACACATCACTGGCTATATTTGAAGAAACAGGCAATTGAAGTGATTAATTATTTCAGGTATTTTTGAGTCCTGTTGCTTTCTAGCAAAGATACAGGAGCGTTTACCTGTTGATTTCAGTCCCCTGGAAAAACCAAACTGAGCAAGCACAGTGTGCAAAGTAACATACTGCTCTTTATTACTTAAATCTTAGAAAGCACACAAGAGTATTTCTGTAAGATCTTTTATCTGGCTCAGACGAATTCTATTCTTTCACAAAGAAAATCTAACACTATAAACTTATTTATGCTCAAATGTAAATAGTGTATCATTAAAAAGAACATGTACACTAAGACTATTTATAGATTAAATTTACTATGTAATGAAAGTCCTGTACCAGGAGCAAGACAAGAAATGGATAGAATACTGTCCTCAAAATGACTTTGGGCTTAAAGGTGTATTGTTATTATTACCTGTTCCAGTTGTGTAGCAAATGCAATAGTTACAGACAAAACAAAGTAGTCTCTGCAATATTCTGCTGGTCCAATTTGATGATAGCCCTCTTCTTCATTTAGGACTGGTACAATAGTTTTAGGGTCTAGCTCAGAAAGAAGAGCAGGTACTTAAAAAGAAAAAAAGAGAATAATTAATACAGCTATTTTCTAGATCACCATGGCAAGGTGCTTCTACACAGTTTATAAAAGTAGAGAAGTTCAAGACTCCGAATGCTAATGTGTCACAGAATCCTAATATTAAAAAAATGGAATTTGCTTCTGAATACAGATACATATTATTTCCCTCTAATTAGAATCCACTTCAATGAATGCTCATATTAATTTTGAGAGGTTTTCTTTTCTGATATGAGTACAAAAAAAAGCGTAAGACAGTGCCAGCACAAATATTTAATTGATGGAAGACATGAAAGTTAATTCAGTAGCCTTTTGGAATTTTTCTTCCTTCACCTCTTCTTTCCAACTGAAGCAGCTTAAAAAGTCCTATTTTGCAAATCTTAGGAAGAAAGTCATAGAAACCTTAACATACATAAACATAATAATTTTGAAGTTAGATTTCTCATATATTTTCAGACAACAGTGCAAATACAAAACAAGGAAATCATAAGGCAAAGTGGACATCAGTTGCTACCGGTGTACAACTCAAAATTTTCCACGTAAAGCAATGTGGCACCTGGCACCCTTAAAACTTTCAGTATCTGGGGGAGAAAGTGTGAACAACTGGTACAGTTTTCACTAATAAGAGTCTGAAGTTTTAAACAGATTAATGTTTCACTCTTTGCTCTCTAGCTTAAATCCTAGGACTGTCTATAACCTGCTGTACATCCCTGGAAGATGCATATAGTGGCTGCAAGTATATTAAATCCAAACATACCTGAAACTAAGATAACACTGAATCTGGTCTCTATAATTTAAAATGAGGGGGAAATTATTGGAGTCAGGAATGAATGAATTAAGAGAAAAACTTACCATTTTTTAAACTCCATTGAGGATGTACTTTACTAATCTTGACAAAAGTATTTATGCATGCTTTAAGATAGTAGAGTGAAGCATAAGGATGAGAGAAAATTAGAGTTCAAGAGAAATAAAAACAGAGCTTGTAACATCTGACATAGTAGGCTGTAACCTATGAAAGCTCATTCCACTCTGAATAAATTAGTCAATAAGGTGCCACAATGTTTTGCCTTCTGCCAAACTACAGACTATCACAGTTAGCTAGCCCTGTCTTCCCATGCTTATATTACATGTGATTTACTATACTGTATAAAAATAAATGGCATGCAGTGCTCTTGTTAATAAATAAAATCAACATCTAATTTTTCCCCATGACAGGGAAGAAAGCAAGCAAGCAAACTCTATTAAGAATGGCACTAGAATAAATGTTGTAAATGAAATGCATAAGCTTTTCAGAAGAGAAAGCGGGTGAGAGATGAATGCTGAAATACCAAATAATGTTTGTATTCAGGCATACTAGCTCATGGGAGTTGAACCGATGACACCTGAAGTTGCTTCCAACTCTATGATTCTATGATTATTCTTAAAAAAGAAAAATCACTAGACCAAATTCAGTAGATTGTAGAGAGCTTCTCCAACTATAAATAAATCCTACCACTGTCAGAGCTACTTCTGGTGTGGAAATGGTAAGAACACTAGACAGTTGAAGATCACACAAAAAAGGGTCTCAGAACAATAAGTTAAAGCAGTAGAGCCAAACCTTTTCATCCCATGGGACAGATGAGCAGTGCCATTTCTGCCTGCAGAGAGGCCCAATTTAGCTATGCTCTGCTTGGAAATTTGGTGGTGAGGGAGAGGTGGCAGTGTTAATTGAAACCATGCCCCTGCTGCCAAATTTCTAGACTCATGGGGAGTCCTACAGGCTAGATGACATGGTCTGTGGGAAGGAGTTGGAGCACCCCTGGACTAAAGTAGTCAATCTTTTTAGACTTAAGATACTATGGAAAAATAGTGATTCTTCTGTTGCAAATAACTTAGAAAGATGACAACAGGTTAGAATGTTTCTAACACAATGGATTCCTAGATAAAAATCTCTGGGTTTACCTCATGAAAAATATTTGCACACCTAACAATGCTAACATTGCATGAATCACGCTTGAAAGGCACCCCAGTGTGCCACAGCACCCTGGTTAAGAATCACGGGGAAAAAGCTGGGGTAAGGGGCAATCCCTGAGGTAAGGACTTACCTTATCAAAAATGTCATAGGATCTTTAAAATCAGAATAGGAAGAAATTAGGTTTAAGGCCTCATCCACACACAAGGAGCTGCACCAAACACAATTAATTTATTTATCTTAAGAGGGATGGGATATCTCAGCAGGGTTAGCGCTCAAGCCAGCAAGTCTGTTATTTTAAACCTGATGTTTTATTGTACTAAACCTGAACTAAACACTACTAGACTAACCCCTCCAAAATTTACAAGTGTATTTTCACCTAGGTAGATACAAACATGAAATACAATCTTTAAAATTCAGAAAAAAAGAATCAGCTACAAATATTCTGAGGAACGACAGGTGCAACCCTAAGGACACGATGATAGGAAAATATAGCTTAAGTGTTCTAGGGGCCTCCTCTATCCCTCCATTAAGAATACAACTGGAGGTCATTCTTAGATGGGGAGAAGAGCACAGAAGTAAGAGGGATTTCTTAGTTTCTTCCTACTGTTAATCTGGCTTTGAGAAGGGAAAAATAACTGACAAAGAAAAACTGCCTCTTAGAGGTCTCCAACTTACCCTGGATACATCAAGATATAAAGCAACTACTGTTCTGAGATTGCAGTCTACCTTCCCAGTTCAATAATGGAGGTGTAGCTTGAACAAGATTTCAAAGAGGCTGTGGGGAAACTATTGGTCTGGGGAGCCAGAAAAGCTTTTATCCTTTAGGGCAAGATTGATTATCTGTCTGATGGATTTTTTTACCCTCTCATTTTCCTTGATCATGGAGGCTTGGTTTAAATACAATAACTTAGAACAGGATTAAAAAAATTAAAGACAGAGTTTATTATTTGTCAAAGCTGTATGAGATATCCTGAAGGTAAAAGAGTAAAAAGAAACAGAACTAGAGGCTAATGTATTGGAAATTAAGAAAAATTATTTCTGCAGCTTAATTTGACATACATTGTCATTTTATTTCAGAGGAGTGGGGGAAGAGAATTCACTGGTGGGCCAAATGTTAATGGTTAACTTTGAGGGAAGCAACCCTGAGTACTGGTTATTTAGAAAGATGTCAGTTAGTACTGAATTGGATGGTATGTGATGGCAGAATTGGATCTGTTTTCATTTCTTGTATCCTGATCAACTCTTATCCACATCTTACAGTTTACAATTCAGATTTGTTACTTCATGATCTTGAGTTTCAGCTATTTAAATTACTCCTTGTCAAGAAGAAAAGAAACCCATTTCTTTAACTTCAGAAACCCCTGCATTACCAAAACCTAATAAAACTGGAGAGCCATTTTAAAAACAATTCCACAACTTCACAACTCTCTTGTGGTTTGCATCCAACTCAACTTTGAGCCTCACAGCTTGCAAAACAAGCTATCGTCTGCAAGTAATTTGAACTCATAGTGCATGCGGGTACTGTAATATTTTGTTATAACATTTTCACACAAAATATTCACAAAGTAAAAATGCATTTATCAGACAAATTTACCATGTGCAGCAAACTATGTTCTTCACACATTAAACATTTTTTCTAAATAAACTTAGAGAGGTTTTTATTATGCTTTATACCTTTCCCTTCTCTAGGAGGTGCCTCCTTTGCTCTAAAAACATCCACAGGTGCTTTCGTATCAGTTTCCAATGTCAAGCTTATCTGTATCTCAGATTTAAATTTAGTATATTTGTTACTGAGCAAGGGGTACCATTTTGGTGCCTGCAAAATAAAAAGATACACAAAATATGATCCAAAAAGTAGTAACAAATAAAATGGAAAAGAAAAAAAGAGTTTAGTATGATTATGGGGTAAAATAATCTGAGGCAAGTCATTTATTGATAAAATTATTATAAATTTTAGATGCGTGTTTATTTTCAAAATGTCAGACACAAACACCGATGTGGACCAAACCTTTCTGCTTTACAGTCAAATAGAACTAGAAAGTAAGAAGGCTGCCTCCCAAACTCTTCCAGTAGTTTTAATGGTTAATTATGTTCATTTAAGAAAAACAAAACAAAAACTAAGCTAAACTAAACTTGTGGATATTTTCTAGTTTGAATTAGAGATACAATATGAAAAACAAATTTATCCAAATTAAATTTTGCAATTATTGAAAATATTTTTTTTAAATTTGGTAGTACAGAAAGAACAAAACAAAACAAACCCACAACCAAACAAATCCGACCTCACACACATTTAGCTTTGTGCTCTCAAAGCAATCTCTAATGGTCAATTAAAAAATATTTTATCATGTGATAAAAATGATGTATTCAAAATGCTTCAAATTCACATATGTGCAATTAAAACATCTTTTTAAAAAGTTCTGAACTAGATCATCTAATGAAGGAATCTACTTTCTTCAGAAAAGGATTTGAGAACTTCCCTGTTTCCTTCAAAAGCTTCCAATATATTTTTATAAACAAGAAATCTAATGTGCATACTGTCAAAATGTCAGTTACTAAACACACCTGTTTCTTTTCTTGGGCAGCTCTTAAATCTAATACAATGTAGCCTACGCTATCCTTTCTTGAAGATACAGGATCCAAGGCAAAACACTGGAGCTTGATAGGTGTTCGCTGCAGCCTGAAACACCACCCCAATAAAAAACAACATGAAGTAGTAATAATGTCTACAGTTATGTGCAGCTGACAAATAATTCACAATACATACAAAATGTATTAACTTTTCATGGGTTTGGAACTAGTTATGACTAGGGACCTACTCAAATTGTAATTGCACGGATTTCATGGAAATTGCAAAATTGGGCAATCCCTATGGAATCTGCGGGAAAAACAAACGAACAAACAAAAACTTACTAAACATAAAATGCTGGCTACCCAGTGGGAACCAGCGGTCACCCCTGGCTGCGCAACCCAACAGGAAAGGGGCTACCAGCATGAAGGTGAGCAGGAAAATGGCTCCGCCCCTACCTTTCATTGCTGAGTGGCTAAGAGGAATGCCTGTCTTATGGCCCTGCCCCTCTCCAATCAGCAGCAAGGGGTGGGGCCACATGACAGACAGCCTTCTCAGCCAATCAGTGACAGGGACAAGGTCACCAGGGGCCACTCAGCCAGACGCATGGGGGCCCCACCACAATAAGGCCTGTGAAAATGGGTTCTCATAGGATTTTTTACCACAGATGCAGCACAGCGTCATTCTTTCACAGAATAATTCTTCTACATTAAGCCTCCCTGCCTCCCCCGCCACAATCAGTTCAGCAAAACAAAGAACTTTATGCTCTTTCACCCTTATTCTTACCTATAGTAGCAGTATCCTCAGATAAATTAGTTTCAGCATGTAATTAAGTATATCATTAAAGAGAGTAGCTTCAATTCTAACATTTTTAGTGGACAGTAGTTCAAACACATACCTTTCACTAACTGTAAAAGACACAATAATGACAAACTAAACTTATTCTAGATTTAGTTTCATAACGCAACCTGTGCTGATGAAGTGCTTTCCTATCGAGTTCCCAAGCCAATTCAGTGGCAAACTCTGGCTGGTTTGTGTGATCCACAGGATCAGTAGACAGCTGTTCACCATCAAATTTTGCTTCTACGACAAGAGTATGCTTGGCACGTTTAGGAAAATGCCGTCCTGGAAAAACAAAAGCACAGAAATGATAGCTCCACTTGGGGAAGAGAGAGAGAGAGAGAGAGAGAGAGAGTGTATTTACATCACAAGACAAATGTATAAAATTTTTCCTTTGTCATTTAGCCCACAGTTGTTTTAATATCTTAATATACTTTTTATTATTATTAATTATGAAAACCCCTTCCTTCCCACCATGCATTCACAAAAAATAGATGTTAGATGTTACAAAACAGACAGTAAAATGTATTTACATTGCAAATAAGCTTGCACATATATACAAACATTTCTTTATTTATTTGTGCAATTGCCATATGCACATGAACAGTAACTTCATTAATTACTCCAATTCCTTTCAATAGAACTTTCCCTATGCAAGTAACTTTATTTTCCCCCCAGAAGTGTGACATTGGGCTTTTAGATAGGAACACCTTTGGTATTCCCACCCCTCTATTTCTCAAAAATCACTTAACTGCTTAAGTGGATAATGTACAAATGCTCCCTAACTCAGGGGTGCTTGGCACCTGGCACAATGTCATCTGGCCTGTGGGGCTCCTCATGGGTCTATGGGGAACCCTGCAGGCTGTGGCCCTCTATGCTAGATCAGGCACACGGGGCCTGATCCCAGCATACAGGGCTCGGTGACAGTGGCACAGGGCCCTCTGAGCCTGATCCCAGCACATGGGGCTGGTACAAGGGCCTGGCATAGGGGCCCAAGGCCCAATCCTGACACAGAGCACCCTGAAGCCTGATCCTTGCATGTAGGGCCTGGTTAGGGTAGTGCAGAGCCCAGGGCCTGATCCCAGCACTCTGAACTATCCAAATCTGATATACAAGTATCTAGTTCAGGATAATTTCTTGAAAAAATTTACTAAAGTTATGGATGGTGTAACAGGGGACCTTGCCCTGTAACTGACAGCAAGAAATTGAAGACTGTGCTTTTAAGGCAAGCTCCTCAGAGGCCAGAAGAGGTAGGCTGTAGCTATATATAGCCTGCAACAGAAGCAGAAGGGGTAGTCTGACCTGGGCAGCGCTAAAGGAAGGATCTTACTGCTGGGAGAAAGAGAGAAGTGGTACAGAGAACTGCAGACTGACCTTGGCTGTGCTAGCTAAAGGAGCTCTCCCTGTGCTGAGTGGGGAAGCAATATGGGAGACAGGGAATTATGAGTAGGCCCAGGAAAGAACAAGTTGGGAGAAGCAAGCAAAACTGAGTAGAAGCCTGGGGAAGAGCTTAGAGAAAGGCACCCCAGCTGCACTTGATTGTGCTTATGTTGGGCTATGTTTGCCGTTTAGGTTACAAAGGATGGCAGTGGCTGAAGATGAGGAAAGGAGGCCACTGAAGATGTCCCACAAGAGGGATTAGGATAACCGAGTTGGGCTGCCAGAGGACCCAGTGATCCAAAACCCAACTGTCTGAGCCTGAGAGACTGTGCAGGACCATCATTCAGAGATGTAACAACAACCAAAGGCATAGTAGGTGAGGGTAGGGTGGTACCTGGAGTGAGCCACTCCTCTTACTAGCCTTTGATTCCATTATAGACAGGACTGAAAAACTGTGCAAACTGCCAAAAATGAATGTGAAAAGTTATTGGTCCAGATAACATTGGTATCCCCTTCCCCCCTTCCAAAAATTGATCCAGCACTTCTGTTTAGCCTTGCTGTTTTTTCTTTCAAAACTCTCCCTGCCACTTAACCCCAAGACAAGACAAATGGAGCAACTCAGAATATAACATTTATAATATCTGACAACCTAAAGCTGAGGTCAGCAACATGTGGTCTGCATGTCAGATACAGCTGGACAAGCTTTGCTTAAGCAACCTGCCCAGCTTTGGGATCCAGCAGATTGTGAGGAGCATCCGGAAGCACAGTGTGCTTCTGGATGTGTGGAAGAGCTCCAGCAACAGCATGGTCCATTCTGTGCCAAATCTCAGACAGCAGCTGCAGCAGCAGGGCCTGGGACAAAGGCACCAGCATGTCCCTGACCAGCCCAGTGTTCATTTAGAAGCTTTTTTTCATCAAATGCCAGGCTGGTTGGGGACAGGCTGGTGCCTCTGTCCCAGTTCATGTTGCCATTCAGTGAATGTTGCAGAATGACGTGTGGTCACTGTGACTCTTGAACACATCCTGAAACACACTAAGCTTTGGGATACTCCATGCAGCCTTCTAGGTCCAAGTTTGCTGCATGCTAGGGAATAGATCCTAGGGCAGGAACAGAGGTTCCACCATGTCTTCAACCTGAACACACAAGCAGACCAGTCAGGTAATGATCCATGTGGGGCTGTGCATGCTCATCTGTAGCAGGTGGGGACCTTTTGTTGGCAGGAAGGGTGTTGGGGGTGTTGCCTGCCCCCACTCGTTTTGGGTGTACAGGGCCTGGGACAGTCTCTCCTTAAGAAGTGTGAGTCCAGTAGCCCTCATACCCATGATTTGTGAAGAAGCCACCTGCTGTTGAAGATCAATCCCATAATAAATTATATATTCCAGCCCAGGGGTGGATCAAGAGGCAGGGGGAGGGTGCACTGGTGCACTTGCACCCGCTTTGATTTCTGCTTTACCCAAAGCTTAAAACCAACCGCCTGGAGGTGATAGCTCCAAAAGAGACCAACTCAGGAAGGAAATCACCACATGCTACAACAATTTGAGAGAGAAAAATCCAGACATCCTCCCTAATATTGTACAATGGATACAAAGAGACTACAAAAATTTTTCTACAACATCCATTCAACATAAAAAGAAGAAACGGAACAAATTACTTCAGGAACAACCTTCCCAGACACAAAACAACCATCAGAGAAACAACGCCAAACACCTGACAACATTCCAACCTCAGACTTGATGAAACTAAAAGCAGCAACCAACCCTCAAATATCATTAATCTCTCCATGCACACACTTAACAAAACTGAAAATATGTCCTTTCTAAAAGCCTAAAGTTCTGTCCAGAGAAATACCCTAATAAAATACTTCAATGTGGAAAACCAGAAGAATTCTGATGCCTCTGCCTCAAGGAATATTTCCACAACCAAAATGAATCCACTTCCAACAACAACTCATCCTCTGACAATACAGAGGAAAAGATCACCCCCCCCCCCCCCCCCCCAAAAAAAAAAAAAATCAGATTGGACACCTCACATAAGCTTGACCTCTATATTGAATGCTTCAGGGAAAGAATGAACAATGAAATAATCAACACCACAGGGCACCATAACAACCTCTCCCTATCAGAGAAAAAGGTCATAGAATCTCTAAGATCTAACCACTGAATAGTAATAAAACCAGCAGATAAAGGAGGAGCCATGGTCATCCTTAGCCACGAAGACTACTACATAAAAAGAAGCCAGCAGACAACTCTATGACACCACCTACTATGAAGAACTACAGGAAGATTCTACTCCCCTTTTCACCCAGAAACTCAAAAATACCATCAAATCATTTCCATCAGAACTACAAGAAAAACAACAGACCTTGATCCCCCACTACTTAACCCAGGGACTTTTTACACGCTCCCTAAAATCCACAAACAAGGGAACCCTGACAGACTTATCATATCCGTTGGAACCCTAACAGAGGAAATATCAGGTTTCATCAAATAAATCCTAAAACTGTTTGTCACCCAGAGCGAGTTTTGTCCAAAACACTACAGACTTTCTATGAAAACTTAAAAACATAGACCACCTTCCCAGCAACACCCTCCTAGCCACCATGGATGTTACCAGCTTATATACCAACATCCCACACCAGGATGGCATCCAAGACTGCCTTACATACCTACAAGAGCAGGATGACAACTCAGAGTACAGACCCAAAGACATCACTGACCTTATACACTTCTTCCTCAAAAACAATAATTTCACTTTTAATAACCAATACTTCCTCCAGATCATGGGCACGGCTATGGGCACCAAAATGGCCCCACAGTATACCAACCTTTTTATGAGCTACCTGGAAGAATTCAAGGACTGCACCACATCAAACCCTTGCTATACTTAAGATAGATAGGTGACATCTTCATCATTTGGACTGAAAACCTGCAATCTCTGATTGAGTTCCATCAGAAATGAAACAATGATCACCTCTCCTTCCAACTATCTCTTAAATAGTCCAGCACCAATGTCTCCTTTTTAGACATGATGATGATCAGTATCCAGAATGGTAAAATACAGACCACGCTATGCAAGAAACCTGCAGACCAACATACATATCTGCACAGAACCAGCAATCACCCTAAACACACCAAGAAAGCTGTGATAGACAGCCAAGCCCTCAGATATCATCAAATTTGCACTGAGAACACCCGGGACTGCTACCTCACAAACCTTAAAAAGGCTTTCAGTCAACAAGAACACTCCCTCCAGAGAGATGGATCACACTTTTGAAAGAGCCACCCAGACACCATGTGAAAAATTGCTGCAGTACAGAAGGAAAACCCCCACAAATCACACACCGCTGGTTATGACGTATCACCTTTCCCTCAAACCTACACAGAAAATCTTCAAACAATTGCAACCCATACTAGAAGGAGACCCAATTCTTAAAGAGATCTTCCAAGAACCACACATCCTAGCCTTCAAACAAGCACCAAACCTCACTAACCTCATCACCAGAAGCAAACTTCCTACAGCCCAAAACGCACCGAATGGATGCAGGCCATGCCATGAAAAGAAATGCAAAACATGCCAACATATCTTCACCACTCCCACAATTACTACACCCCACAACAGAACCATCAGCATCCCTGGATCTTACAGCTGCACCTCCAGAAATGTAATATCTCCCCGAATGCACCAAACACCCTGATGGAAAATACGTAAGTGAGACCAAACAACAACTGTGCACCAGAATGAACGCACACCAGAAATCTATTAAAGACAAGAATACCCAGTTACTGGTGGGGGCACATTTCTCACAAGAAAACCATTCTCTTTCCAATCTCTCAGTTCTAATCCTCAAAGGGAACTTACAAAACACTTTTCACAGACGAGCCTATGAACTTCAACCTATCAGATA